AATCTCAAAACCAAATAAACACAAGAAAAACAAACTATGGATCAATATCCTTCACTATTAAAGGCATAAAAATCCTCAACAGAATATTAGCAAACAAAATCTAACAACATTTCAAAAGAAGTATAAACCACGACCAAGTAGAACTTATCCCAGAAATGCAAGATTGGTTTAACAACTGAAAACCAATTACTGAAATTCACCATGTTCATAAAATAAAGAATAAAACCGTATAATCATTTCCATAGATGCAGAAAAAGGACTGGACAGAATCCAGTAATTATTCATGGTAAAACTGTCCGTAAACTAGGAATAGAAAGGAACTTCCTCAACCTGATAAAATCACTTTATTAAAAAAAACCTACAGGTAATATCTGCTCAAGACTATTTTTAACTTTTTTAAAAAAAATAAAGCCAATACAGAGAAACATAGCTTAAGAAGTGACTATAAGGCAAACACTCTTGCAACCATGAATTCACCCAGATGAAGGAAAAAAAACCTGATCTGGGTGAATCACCCAGACAACTTCAAAAGGCCCTGCATGAACCCTGTCCCAATCCCTCCTTCTCCACAGAAGTAACAACTATTCTGATTTTCTATTAGTCACTTTCTTGCCTTTATAGTTTCACTGCTTTCTATAAGTGTGCATCCACAGAAAAACAGTTTAGCCTTAAGCCCCATTTTCATTTGCTATTTCTTTTAAAGTCTCTCTTTTAAAAAATGTTTAACTGGTACATGATAATTACACATATTTGTGGTATACACAGCAATGTTGCAATACACATAAGGTACAGTGATCAGCTCAGGGTAATTAGCATATCCATAATCTCAAACATTTAACATTTCTGTGTTGGAAACATTCAGTATCCTCTTTGAAACTATATAATGTTTTACCTGTTAAGTACAGTCATCCTACAGTGGTACAGAACACTCAAGCTTTTTCTAACGGTAATTTTGTATTTTTTAGCAAATCTCTTCTTATCTCCTCCTTTCCCCTACCCTTTCCAGCCTCTAGTATCCCCTATTCTACTCTTTACTTTTGTGAGATCAACATTTACCTTCCCCATATGAGTGAGAACATGCATGGTTTAATTTTCTGTTCCTGGGCTTATTTCATTTAAGATAATGCCCTCCAGGTCTATCCATATTGCTAGGAATGACAGGATTTCATTATTTTTATGGCTGAATGGTATTCCATTGTGTATATATACCACATTTTCTTTATCTGTTCATCTGATGTTGGACACCTAGGTTGATTCCATATCTTGGCTATTGTAAATGGTGCTGCAATAAACATAGGGGTGCAAATGTCTTCATACACTGATTTCCTTTCCTTTGGGTAAATGCCAAGTAGTGGGACTCCTGGATCATATGGTAGTTCTATTTGTAATTTTTTGAGGAACTTCCATACTATTCTCCGTAGTGGCTGTACTAGTTTATACTCCCACCAACAGTGTACAAGAGTTCCCTTTTCTGTGCATTCTTGACAGTATTATTTTTTGTCTTTTTGGTAATAGCCATATCCTAACTAGGGTGAGATGATATTTCATTGTGAATTTAATCTGCATTTCCCAGATGATTTGTGATGTTGAGCATTTTTTCATATGTCTGTGGCCATTTATATGCCTTCTTTTGATAAATGTCTATTCGGATCATTTCCCCATTTTTTAAACAAACTTTTTTTGCTGTTGAACTGTTTGAGTTCCTTGTATATGCTGGATATTAATCCCATGTCAGATGAGTAATTTGCAAATATCTTCTCTCATTCTGTAGGTCGTCTTTTCACTGTGCTGTTTCCTTTGCTGTGTAGAAGCTTTTTAGTTTGATATAATGCATCTGGTATTTTTTGCTTTTGTTGCCTGCATTTTTGAGGTCTTATTCATAAAATCTTTTCCCAGACCAATGTTCTGAAGCATTTCCTCTATGGTTTACTCTAGTAGTTTTATAGTTTCAAGTCTTACATTTAGGACTTTGATCCATTCTGAGTTGATTTTTGTGTAAGGTGAGAGGTGGGTGTCTAGTTTCATTCTTCCACATGTGGATATCCAGTTTCCCCAGCATCATTTATTGAAAAGACTATCCTTTCCCCAATCTATGTTCTTGGCACTTTTGTCAAAAAGCAATTGGCCATAGATACATAGATTAATTTCTGGATTTTCTATTCTGTTCCATTGGTCTGTGTTTCTGTTTTTATGCCAGTACCATGCTGCTTTGGTTACTACAACTTTGTGGTATATTTTGAAGTCTGTTAGTATGATGTCTCCAGCTTTGCTCTTTTTGCTCAGGATTGCTTTGGGTATTCAGGGTCTTTTATGGTCCCATAGGATTTTTTTTTCTATTTCTGTGCAGAATGTCATTGGTATTTTCACACGGACTCCACTTAACCTGTAGGTTGCTTTGGGTAGTATGGTCATTTTAACAATAAGAATTATTCCAATCCATGAGCATGAAATGTCTTTCCATTTGTCTGTGTCCTCCTCAATTTCCTTCATCAGTGTTTTGTAACTTTCTCTGAAGAGGTCTTTCACCTCCTTGGTTAAATTTATTCCTAGGTATTTTATTAGTTTCTCACAGCTATTGTAAATGACACTGCCTTCTTAATTTCTTTTTCAGCTAGTTTGCTGTTTGTGTACAGAAATGCTACTGATCTTTTTGTGTTGATTTTGTATCCTGCAACTTTACCAAATTTATTGATCAGTTCTAAGAATTTTTTTTTTGGTAGAGCATTCAAGGCTCTTTTCCTGTCTGTCTTTTCCTTACAATCTCTCTGTTAAAGTACCTAAGATATTTCATTTATATGTCCAGATCTGCTGATGTACTCTCATGGTGCAGTTCAATGTTTCTCTGTTCTCTGTATTTCCTACAAATGGCCAGCTGATATATGGAGCCTTGACCAGACTCATGTTGAATAGATTCCTTTGACAAAATAGTAGGTAGTAGTATGTTCTTACACCAAAAAGCAAATAATGTCTGTTCTTTTCCTTCTTGTGATGTTAGTAGCCATCGACGCTCACTGCCTAGACCCATTCATTCACCAAAGTTATAAAATGGTGGTACTGCAATTCTGTCATTTCTTTTTCATTTATCAATTGAAATAGCTCTCTCATATCTACTACTTTGTTAGCCAGAGGTACACTCACATAGGAAAAGCAGGATAAATTGCTTCTTTCTTGTATTTATCAATATTCAAGGCAATAAATTTGTTCCTATCATGCTCTAATCTAAGAGTAACCAATTCCTTTTTAAAATATCATTAGGAACTCAAGAATTTAAACACACTTCACAGGTTTCTACCAATCTCTGGCCGGTGGGAGTTCTGCAGTCATTTCTCCAGTCTTTCTGAAACGAACCTAAATAGTCTTTTAACAGCCTCCTTACTATCTGCTATGACAATATTCCATGTCAGCATGTACATTTCTTGCCCAAAACCTAGAATCAACAATTTTGCCAGAAAGGCTTGGTTTCTTTTAAGGTGGAATGGTTTTTCCCAACACCACAATCGGGGTGCTACAGAAGTTCACTGCTCACAGCACTGTAAATGTTCAACTGCTACTCAATTGGTCATTTTTGATCTAGTCCTCTTCAGTGTTCATAGTCAGGAAACGAACCAACACAGTTGGGTAGATGTATTTTTGAAAGATAAAATACCTAGTAAGTGCATACTAGTAAGTAACTTTCCATTAAAATATGGAATTATCAGTTTGACTTAACCTCTGCAGTATTACATCTATACTTCCTCTCTTGCACACAAGAATCTAGCATACGCAGGAGCAATATAATATGTCCTAATACTCACTTACTTGATGCAACAATATAAAGCTTCAGAATAATGATATTTATTATGACCACACCAATGTAGTTACTATAAGAATTAAATTTATGGCCAGACATGGTGGTTCCCACCTGTAATTCCAACACTGGTAGGCCGAGGCAGGCGGATCACTTGAGTCCAAGAGTTCGAGACCAGCTGGGCAACACGGTAAAACCCCGTCTCTACTAAAAATACAAAAAAATTAGTCAGGTCTGGTGGTGTGCATCTGTAGTCCCAGTACATTGGGAGGCTCAGGTGGGAGGATAGCTTGTGCCAAAGAGGCAGAGGTTGCAGCGAACAGATTCTGCAACCTCTGCAGAATTCAAGCGATTCTCCTGCCGTAGCCTCCCGAGTAGCTGGGATTACAGGCACCCACCACCATGCTCGGCTAATTTTTGTTATTTTTAGTAGTGACGGGGTTTCACCATGTTGGCCAGGATGGTCTCAAACTCCTGACTTCAGGCAATCCACCCGTCTTGGCCTCCCAAAGTACTGGGATTACAGGCATGAGTCACCATGCCCAGTCACAAATCTTTGTAAGAAACTTTTTCTATAGTTGTTCATAGTTGTTCTATTCCCTTGCTCTGCTTTGCTTTCTAAAGAGTCTTATTATCTGTGTGTTGTTTCTTCTTTGCCTATCTTCAATATTTATCATTTTCTCTCAAATCATCTTTTGTCTTTCTGTATTTCTTTTCGGTCTTTAAATTTTTCCTTCTTTTCAACCTCTATTTAAAGGTTGTTTGGTTTATTCAACCTAGTGTCCCTTCTAGTTTTCTTTTCTGAAGCGATTTTTAAAATTATTTCTTAAGTTCTATCATTTCATTTCCGAATTTTTCTTTTTTTTTTTAGACAGAGTTTTGCTCTCATCGCCCAGGTTGGAGTGCAATGGCATGATCTTGGCTCACTGCAACCTCTGCCTCCCAGATTCAAGCAATTCTACTGCCTCAGCCTCCCGAGTAGTTGTGATTACAGGCATGTGTCACCACGTCCAGCAAATTTTTGTATTTTTAATGGAGACGGGGTTTCACCATGTTGGCCAGGCTGGTCTCAAACTCCTGACCTCAGGTGATCCACCTGCCTTGGTCTTCCAAAGTGCTGGCATTATAAGTGTGAGTCATTTCTGAATTTTTCTAATCTTACGTTGTCCTTTCACATGTCATATTGGTTTCTCAATGACTTTTGACTCATTTATTTATTTGAAATTTAAAGAAAAAATTTATTGAAGATTTGAAAAATAATTCCTAAAAGACTGACTTTTTCAGAAAACTAGCTACATAATGCATCGCATCTACCATGTTAAAATGTGCACTAGACACAAATACAAAAACCATGCAACAAGACACCATTCTTCAACAATTTGAGCAAAGTTAAATGCCTAAGGAACATGGATGACTTGCAAAGAATGGGCTATTTAAGAACCATAACAAAAAGGAGCACACATGGATGAGTGTGTTCAGTTATATACACTGAATTGAACCTTTGGCACTAGGAATCACAGCATTTTGTCATACAGCATGAACACATATTATAAAAGTACGTAGGGTCAAAGGAACAGGACCACCAGCATTCAAAGGCAGCTCTGTCAACTAGGCAATAAAACACTCTACAGCATGTGCCTCTGTTGTCCATTGTTGAATACACTGGCAGCAACTTTGAAGTGAAAAAAAAGGTAAGATAGGGAAAAAGGAGCTATTACTCCTTTAATTTTCTGTTTAAAATTAAACAGAAAAACATCAATTGTTGTACAATAACATCTTCAAAGTACATCCTTTGTACAACAGAAAGACTAAGAACAAAAATATGTTTACAGAGATCCAAACATGAGTGAGAGTGCCTCTCACACAGCTTTCTGATGGTTCTCTGGGGGAGCCATTCATAATTGCTGGGCACTAAAACATGTTGCAGAATTCTTTGCCAGGTACTTTAGGAAACTGTGAAGATAATTCAGTAATAAAACAAGGCTCTGCCAGGCACAGTGGCTCATGCCTGTAATCCCAGCACTCGGGAAGCTGAAGTGGGTGGATCATGACGTCAGGAGTTCGAGTCAGCCTGACCAACATGGTGAAACCCCGTCGCTACTAAAAATACAAAAATTAGATGGGCGTGGTGGTGCGCACCTGCAATCTCAGCTACTCAGGAGGCTGAGTCAGGAGAATCGCTTGAACCGGGGAGGCAGAGGTTGCAATGAGTTGAGATCATGCCACTGCACTCCCACTTGGGCAACAGCACGAGACTCTATCTCAAAAAAAAAAAAAAAAAAAAAAAAAAAACCACAAGGTTCTTCTCATCCAGAGGTGTATAGGCCAACATTGCTTTAATTTGTACATCAATAGATGTAGTGCTCCATGAACCTGGGACATGAGTACATGAGGGTGATCTGCAAGAATTTCAGCATACTGTGGTCTGTCAAATTTGGAGAGTAGCTGGGTAGCCAACATTACATTGAATTATTCTTCTATCCCTGCCACAACTTCATTAACAGCATACTCATTATCTGTTTTTCCATGAGATTTTTTTGTAATTTGCTTAATCCTGAAGAATGGAATCCACATTCTTCTCGGCAGAAAGATAAAAGAGATGTTTTTGTCTGGTAATTAAGTCCCAGTCATCAACAAGCCATGGTTTCAGGTCTTCAGGAATTTTCACTTTTTAGCTTCAACTCTGTTCATGAATGTGTCCTCATTTTCAAGAGTAGGATCTACCTGGGCCCTTTTCTTCCAAGGAGGCTGAGGCGTCTCACTGGAACTGCCACCATCTCCATTTCCAGGTATTTTCTGTTTGTTCTTTTTTGTTTTCACTTCAACATTTTCTGTTGCAGACCAGACGTCTTCTTTCTTGGGGCAGTGCCTCTCAGCTCCCCCTCTGCATACCGCTCCTGATTGGCTTTCTGAAGCTCTGTTTCTGCAAATTGGTGTCCATGTATTTGAGTACTCTGCTCTCTGGAACCCATGCATCCCAATTTTTATTACAACCACTGTAATATATAAAGTATTTCACTTGTTTGTCCTTTATGGCAACCTTTACACATTTTGTTTCATAAAGCAGCAACCCATCAAAGCACAGCACTCGCTCACCCTTTTGGAACTCAGGGTTTGGGTCCTGCTTCCACTTCATTTGTAAGTGATTTGCAGCCTCCTCCTTCTCCAGCTCATTTTATAATAGAGGTTTGATCTGTTGTGCGGTCATGTTTTTCTGGGGTGCTTTTATTTATAAGAGCTTTTGTTTTTTCCTTTATAATAACTTTAAATGGGATTTTACCTTGATACTTTTCTGTTTCTCTTGTCTATGTAAAATTAGTGTTCCTGAACTTTTAAAATAATGTAGAGTTCAAGGTAGTTTTTCTGATGTCAGAGAATTCATTCCTCCGTTGTTTTCACATAATGTTCAAAAACCTGGTAGCTTGCTTTCTGAGATCTACTAGCCATTGATCTTCCCAACCTTATCTGAACTTTCTTTCCTTCTCCTCCTGTTCTTCTCTATTCTATTGTCCCTATCCTGCTCAATTTGGATTATTCTGTCCTATTCAATTTTGTTTTAATCAGTGTGGTGCTCTGTCCTGGATGAGCACTCTGGCAGGTTCATTTCAGTAGTTCCATTTTGAGAGTTCGCTGGGGCTAGACTACTCTAGCTTCTTCTGTCTTTACCATGGTCACACTGCACTTGCCTAATATTGGAGTGGGCAACCCTCCCACCCTCCCATTTCAGCTGCTGTTCTTAAAATAACCCACCATCTTGTCCAGCAAATAGTTGTGGCTATTTTGGCGTTCCCCTGCTTTCAAGTCTTATGAGATACCCTGTTAAATCTCCCTGCTTACTCCTGCATAGACAGTGATAACATGGAGGTCTTGTGGCTGTTGGTGATTTGCTCTTATCTAGTTGTACTTTCAAATGCCTAAGGCTATAGTCAATTTTATCCATGTTTTTGGATTCGCTACCTAGTTTCTGTTGGTGGTTTGCCCTTATCTAGTTTTATTTTCAAATGCCTAAGGCTATGGTCAACTTTATCCATAGATTTGGATTTGCTATCTAGTTTCTGTAGGTTTTAGTTAAAAACAAAAACAAAAATACTATGACATGGTCACATCCATCTTCCTCGAATCCCCCTCACAGCCAGATTTGAGGTCAAAAACAGCAGTTGTTTCTATACTCATCATATACTTACTTTTTGACATTTAAATTTACTTTAAACCATATTGTTATATAGCATTTCACTCTTTTTTGAAAGAAGGCAAAAAAAATACTCCAACTCCATGATTACAAAAAGTTTAACTGAATTCTCTAAATCTTTCCTGGTTTTCAGTACTTCTAAAAGTCCCTTATTCTTAGTTCAGATAATTGACACATGTTTACACATTGAAAAAAATCCTTCGATCACCAAAACCTCTCATCTGGTGAGGTCTCAGATTGAGACCAAAAACCAAAATTATCATTAAAACACAAGAATCCAAATATAAAATGTCTTTAAAAATCTGAACATAATCTGAGAAGAAATTCCGTGTTTATGTATTATAGACTTTGTCTTCCTTGAACACTGAAATGTATAGTACATGCAGTAGGTTTTCTCCTTGTCCAGGGATGAGCAAACTACAGCCCACAGGCTCATTGTGCTTTACAAATAAAGTTTTACGCTGGGTGCTATGGCTGATGCCTATAATTCCAGCACTTTCAGAGGCCGAGGCCGGTGAATCACTTGGAGCTCAGGGATAAGACCAGCCTGGGCAACATGGTGACATGCCATCTTTACAAAAAATACAAAAATTAGCCCGATGTGATAGCGTGTGCCTATAGTCCCAGCTACTCGGGAGGCTGAGGCAGGAAGATCGCTTGAGCCCAGGAGACAGAGGTTGCAGTGAGCTGAGATCACGCTACTGCATTCCAGCCTGGATGACAGGGCGAGACTGTCTAAAATAAATACGTAAATAGATAAATAAAGTTTTGCTGGGACACAGTCATGCCTATTCCCGTATGCATTACTATAGCTGCTTTTAAACTACAGTAGCAGAAGTAGCTGAACCAGAGATCATAAGCCTAAAATATTTACTATCTGAGCCTTTACAGAAAATGTTGGCCAAACCCCATCCTAGTAAAGAGATTTATCAAAGTTCCATTAGCAGGACTTGGGGGCTTTACCGGTCATTTTGCGTGGGACCCTCTTTGTTGTACTGATGCCCAGCATACTGCAGGATGTTTAGCAACCTTGGACCTTCCCCTAACACCAGAACTAAAATACTAGTAGTACTCCCAGTCCTTGGGTTAAACAAAATTCTCCACACATTTCCAAACAAAGGGAGTAAAGATGCTACCCCTGGTGGAGAACCACTGAAGAACTAAATTAGCTCAGAGTAAGGAAAGAGGAAATACAGCCTGCAAATTCTAAATGCTGTCAAGATGGATGATAAATGTAATTACTTTTAAAGCACTTTTAAAGAGCTAACTAAAAGACTATTCTTCTTCCCCTCTGGCACTTAATCAAAAATAAACATATTTCTTAATAAAATTAGACTTTGTACTTTTAATATATTAAGGTTTCATGGAGTTTTCTTAAAAGTTTTTTTTAATCTTATAATCTTACCGATTTGTTCCATCCAGATTTGATTTGTGGATGAAATTAAGTTTTGCATCTGCCCAATAAAGCTTTTGTTCTTCATAATCCAAAGTCAGTCCATTTGGCCAGTAAATTTCACTGTTTATTATAATGAAGCGACTTGAACCATCCATTCCAGCACGTTCTATCTTTGGCACTTCTCCCCAGTCTGTCCAGTACATGAACCTAAAAATCATAAAAATAATTAAAGCCATGACAGAGCAGATATCAATCAAATACTCTGTAATTATTACTATTAAAGAAAGCTCAGACCGTGCGCGGTGGCTCACACCTGTAATCCCAGCACTCTGGGAGGCCGAGGCAGGCAGATCATGAAGTCAAGAGATCGAGACCATCCTGGCCAACAGGGTGAAGCCCCATCTCTACTAAAAATACAAAAACTAGCTGGGCATGGTGGTGGTGTATGCCTGTAGTCCCAGCTACTCAGGAGGCTGAGGCAGAAGAATTGGCTGAACCTGGGAGGCAGAGGTTGCAGTGAGCTGAGATCGTGCTACTGCACTCCAGCCTGGAAACACAGCAAGTCTCCGTTTCCCAAAAAAAAAAAAACCACCTCATTTCAGGGACACTAAAACTAAAACTCTTAGAAATTGTATTTTGAAATTCTAACATCTACCATTTGCACCCTGGTAATATCTGATTCAGACAAGTATCATCAAGGATCCAAAAACCACTGAATCAAAATGAATTGGTAAAAAGGATATTTACACCATTTCAATGTATCTCCCCACAGATTACTTGTTAACAACAAAGAAGAAAGATACAACATTAGAGAAAATAAACCCACTGGATACCACCTTAACTGAGTCATCTAAATTAACATCACCAATAAGAGAACAAACTGGCATTATACACCTCTTCATATGATACACCTTTACAGAACATATTGTCTTTTATATGGTCTCTCTTCCATATTATTCCTGCCCCCCAAAAATGCATACCCCCCCAAAAATTATGAGGAAACAGTGTGACTCAAGTTGAGAAACACTACAAAACAGTTGGCCTTTGACAACAGCAATGTCATAAAAGTCAAAAATAAATAAATAAATAAAAGGGTGAGGAACCAATATAGATTGGAGGAGAGCAAAGAGACATGATAACTACATCAAGTGTATGATCTTGAACTGATGAAGTAGGAAAAAGAAATGCTATGCAGACATCACTGGGGGGAAGAGGCAAAACTGATGTAGTATCAAATTACATAGCACTGTACTAATGTTAATTTCCTAAACATGCTAATTGTATTGTAGTTAGGATATAGAGGGGTTTGCTATACTACTTTTGCTTTTATTCCACCAGTTGGAAGATTTTTCAAAATAAAAAATGAAACACCTAATAGTCTCATTACAGAAAAAGAAACTTTTCTTTGATGTAAAAGAAAAACTCTCTTGGGCTGGGCGTGGTGGCTCATGCCTGTAATCCCAGCACTTTGGGAGGTCGAGGCACCTGTAATCCAAGCACTTTGGGAGGTCGAGGCGCCTGTATTCCCAGCACTTTAGGAGGGTCGAGGCACCTGTAATCCCAGCACTTTGGGAAGCTGAGTCAGGCGGATCACCTGAGGTCAGGAGTTCGAGACCAGCCCGGCCAACATGATGAAACCCCATGTCTACTAAAGATACAAAAAAAAAAAAAAAAGTTAGCTGAGAGTGGTGGTGGGCACCTGTTATCCCAGCTACTAGGGAGGCTGAGGCAGGAGAATTGCTTGAACCTGAGAGGCAGAGGTTGCAGTGAGCCGAGATCGCACCATTGTACTCTAGCCTGGACGACAAGAATGAAATTCCGTCTCAAAAAAGGAAAAAAGAAAAAAAAAATAGAAAAACTCTTAATTTATAAGTGTTATACTTCACTTAAAAGCATATTTTCAAAAGTTAATGAGGGGCCAGGAGTGGTGGCTCACACTTGTAATCTTAGCACTTTGGGAGGCCGAGACGGGTGGATCACTTCAGGTTAGGAGTTCAAGACTAGCCTGGTCAACATGGTAAAACCCCATCCCTACTAAAAATACAAAAATTAGTCAGGTGTAGTGGCAGGTGCCTATAATCCCAGTTACTCAGGAGGCTGAGGCAGGAGAATCACTTGAATCCAGGAGGCCGAGGTTGCAGTGAGCTGAGACTGTATGCCACTGCACTCCAGCCTAGGCAACAGAACAAGACTCTGTCTCCAAAAAAAAAAAAAAGTAATGAAGGTGCTATGAAACAGATCAGGCACTTAATAAATGTGTTGAAACCCAAATGAAATTCAGGTATAAGTTTTACTCAAATAATTGGTGGAATGGTAACACTGAAATGAATCTACTTATGCATATTGGTATCTCCACTATTTCATATGAACTGCTTACTCAAAGGAATGATGAGGAGAATATCATGTAGGGGAATAAATACACCTTCTAGATACAAGGCACTGTGCTAATGGCTTTACTTACATTATCTTACTTAAACCTTAAGCAACCTTACAAAATATTATTTGTTCATCACCACATTTTGATGAGAAAACTGAGGAATGTAAGCACGTCACTCCAAGTCACATTGCTAACAAATGAAGAACAGAGATTCAAACCTACATCTCTTAAATTCTAAAGTCAATGTGTATGTCATATGTCAGAGCCTTGATTTTTAAGGAAGAGAAAACAAAATGCTCCCTAGATTGGGGACAGTAGTTGGACACTATCCAGAATGAGCAGTATGGACTAGATTAATACAGGATATAACTGTGGCCATGAGCTGTGTAACAATGTGGTCAACAACAGACTATCTATAAAATGGTGGTCCTATAAACTACAATACTGTATTGTTACTATACCTTTTCTATGTTTAGATACACAAATACTTACCATGGTGTTATGACTGCCACCACGCTCAGTATAGTAGCATGCTGCACAGGTTCGTAGCTTAGCAGCAATAAGCTATCTTATATAGCTTAGGTGTATAGTAGGCTGTACCATCTGGTTTGTGTAACACATGATGTTCACACAATGACGAAATCACTCAACATTTCTCAGAACATGTCCCTACTGTTAAGCGACACATGACTATATATAGGAAGGTAGACCAGACCACATCAGAATTTTTCATTTTGGCCGGGCGCAGTGGCTCACGCCTGTAATCCTAGCACTTTGGAAGGCCGAGGCAGGCAGATCACGAGGTCAGGAGATCAAGACCATCCTGGCTAACATGGTGAAACCCTGTCTCTATAAAAAATACAAAAAAATTAGCCAGACGTGGTGGCGGGCGCCTGTAGTCCCAGCTACTGGGGAGGCTGAGGCAGAAGAATGACGTGAACCCGTGATGCAGAGATTGCGCCACTGCATTCCAGCCTGGGTGACAGAGCGAGACTCCATCTCGGGAAAAAAAAAAAAAAAAAGAATTTTTCATTTTTATTCTGAGAACAACATGAAGGCACTTTGAGACTTTTAAAATTAAAGGTGATGGCCAGGTACGGTGACTCATGCTGTAAATCCTAGCACTTTGGAAGGCCAAGGCAGGAGAATTGTCTGAGTCCAGGAGTTCAAGAACAGCCTGGGCAACACAGCAAGATGCTGTCTCTAATTTTTAAAATGAAAAAATCATAATAAAATAAAATTGGAGGTGAAATGACTGGTTTGTGTTTTCAGGAGGGAGAAAAAAAAGTCTGCGGTTTGGGAAAAAACTAGAGGAAAACTAAAAGAATCCTAAGGCCAGGTCTTCCAAATAGGCTCTGTGAGTTGAGCAAATTCTCTCCCCGAAGCAATGAAGAAAAGACAAGATTGTCAAAACTAACCACCAAAGCCTCCAAAAACTGATCAAAGGTCATACAACAAAATGAGAAGCATTTATTCAAGAAAAATACACTGCATCTCACTAAGAACTGTGGTATTTTAGCTAGGGGCTACTCCTATCCCCATCTATACCGCCAGGTTTGTGGCATAAACATTCTACTGTGGGCAAACATGGCAGGCCATAAAGAGTGGTAGCTACCTTCTCAGGCAAGATGGGACTGACCTTATTTGGAACAAGGCATGGAAAAATCTGTACCCAGGAATGTTATTAAAAGCAAGAGTGGGCTGGGTGCAGTGGCTCATGCCTGTAATCCCAGCACTTTGGGAGGCCGAGGCAGGCAGATCACGAGGTCAAGAGGTCGAGACCGTCCTGGCCAACATGGTGAAACCCTGTCTCT